CATATCCAAGAAGGTCCAATGAACGGTGTGATTAGATACTGAGTCCAGTGGAGTGGGTACATGTTCCCACTACTGCACATCAGTGACGGGGACTCACCCATCCCAACTTCTTCTCTCCTATTTCCTGACTCCAGTAACCGATCCAGTGTATCCGATCACTACGTCACTGAATACAAGGCAATGTCTGAGCTTTTAAATGAAAGTTGAGAGGACTAGAAGAATAATCAGCAACTATTTTGATGATATTAAACGTTTAAGTCGCTCAGTTCTCCTCAGTTGTGATGAGGATATTATAGAAACTTGGGAGGGAGGAGAGGTGTGACGTACAACAAAGCGGCCACGGCTGGAATGGAACCCGTGATGTAGCGCTTTGGAATGAGCTGTAACCACTTGGCTACCAAGGTGGTCCATCAGTGAACTTCTGGAGGGTCAAAATATTAAATTTTACATGTCGGACGTTTGGAAAGTGTCACTTGAGCTTTTGTAATAGTAAATTGAATATTTTTAGGTTTTGGACTTCTGAGCCTTTTTAGCTTTTTACAACCCAAAGATTAATAGTTTAACTAAGAAAAATAATTGTCAGGTTAATTAAGAATATAAATAATCGTTAATTAGTTTGTGTTTTATCTAAAATAGTTAATCAACGTCATTCAATCATTGCTCATGTGAGGCAGCCGTATTACTCGCTACCTCTTGTCTTGTCGTTCCCACCGGCTCTCTTTCCCTTTATTGATAAAGGGAAAGAGAGCCGGTTGTCTGTTATTGATAATGCGGTTCACATTCAGTAAATCATATAAAAAGAACACAAACATGGCGCGGTGTGGAGCTTGACACCGGGGGAAAATGCGGTGTATTGATGTTATATAATTCCGTGTGAAAATTGTAATGACTTGACATTATTTCGTGTGACGAGGGGATAAATCAAACGGTCGATAGATGGCCGCAGCAGCTCGGGGAGATTTATGGATTTATGTTTTGGAGTTGCTCGCCAGAACTGAGGCAACTGTAATTTTTGGACGGCATCGGGGATTTCTGATGAAATAAGACTGGGCGATTTCCCCCCCCAACACACCCGAAGGGATTAATTCCCCTCTGAGAGACATTTGGTTCCCTCTCTCTGGCCCGGCTGCCAGCGTGTTGTTCTAGCCAGAGTTATGATGATGATTTATGAGCTGCAAGTGACGGCTGAAAAGTGGACTGACTCGCACTTTCCCTTGTAATTTAGTTTTCGATTATTGTTACTTTTTTGGCTCTCGTGTGTGTGTGTGTGTGTGTGTGTGTGTGTGTGTGTGTGTGTGTGTGTGCGTGCGCGTGCGCGCGCGTGCGCGCGCGCGCGCAAGAAAGTGAACAAAAAACGATTCAAAAGTGAGTTTTGCACACACACGTGAACACATACGTCCATGTGCATTATCTCACACACACACACACACTTTGCACAGGTGTGTATGCACATACCTGTGGATACCTGCTGCCTGCTGCCATAACAAGCTTGGGTCAAAAATCAAAAAAAGAGTATTGGATGGCTTCCATCTATTGCACAACGTTGGAGCATAAAGCACTTAGTCAATTAGTCAATTGAGCCTTTGCTAAGCCCCGCCCCCTGTTGCTTCTCCGGCAAGCTGTCGGAGCTACGTTACCATGGAGCCCACACTAACTGCAGTTTGAAGGATAAATCCAGGATGTCAAAGTGAGTCAGCAGTGAAAACAGGTTGAAAAGATAAAGCTGCAGATCACAGTGTGGAAGGGAACCACCGTTTATCAATAGCTCTAAAACCACAGAACCAGCCTCTGAGAATAAAAGAGCTGGTCGACGCTACTGTCGATGTCGGTCTGCGTTGGAGGGCAGCAATTAACGAAGGATCAATTGACTGATGAACAAAAAAAACTGATTTTAATCTTAATTTACAGTTTTAAGCAAAAAACTCTCACAGTTTGTCACACAACGATCTGCTTGCTTTTCTTCACATTTGGTTTATTTTGACATGTTGGTCAGAAGGAATAAAATATTGACAACATCCCAGCAAACTAGACGTCCAAATAATACATTCATAATCAAATAACGTGTAAAATAATTGTTACAGCTCTAATCCAGCTGCACAGGGCTGAGCTTTAAGTCAAGAAAGAAGGTTTTTAGATTGTCTGAACCTATTGACACACTTTCACAGGCCAATCAACACACTGTGTACACATCCTGTTTTCCTCAGGGTAGACCAGCCCTGCTGATTGGACGCCACCTTTTTCTGTGTGTGGGTGTGTGTGTGGGTGTGTGTGAGAGATGATAGGTGGCAGCCGTTCTCCCATGGCAGGCAGGGTCAGGGGCCGCGCTTGTCAACAAACCTCAGCAATTAGCTGTGACTCTGGGCTGTTTCACAGCACACACACACACACACACACACACACACACACAACAATCCAGTCAATAAAACATCCAACACGAGCAACATGAGTCCTGAGGGAGCGTCCGTCAGTCACAGCGGTGACCTCTGAACTTTACAATCCACCATTCTCACACGGATTAGGAAACGCACTACAGCGGATGTTTAGTTTGTTTTCTTGTCGTTCATTTCTTCCATTTCTCTTATCTTTTTCTTCCCAGCAAGTTATTGTTTATCATTATTATTGCATTGTACTCATCTGCATATAGATGTATGTACACACAGATTACTTCATACATTCATAATTTGTATACTGAGTGGAAAATATTGTAATGTAAATGATTTCAGCATCTGCTTTTGTTTGATAATAGGAAACCTTTGGGGATCCCTGTGGGTAAATGTGCCTTTTCCAGTCGTCGGTGTAATATTCTGACAATTGCAACTCTGATGTTCTGAGGAGAAGAAGCATCACTGGAAATGTACAAAATGCTTCTAAGAACTTATCTAAAAACGTGGCGTTACTTAAGAGATCTTTGAATCACGAAACGTATGTGAAAATGTGAAGTTCATCTTTCCGTCAAACTGTCACGTCTGTTAAACCAGAGACTTAAGTTCGCACTGACGTCCTCCATCACACCGCTGTTATTATTCTGATTGTTTCTGCATCTCAAGAAACATCAGGATTGGCTAAAGATTTTGAAGCCCTACCGCATTTTACAGTGCACACTGCAGCCCAACTGATTACCGCATGACAAGAACCACATGGGCTGTAAAAATCACATGGGGGGGGGGGGGGGGGGGGGTGTTGTGGGTGGGGTGTGGGGGGGGGGGGGGGGGGGGGGGGGGTTCTTCTTCTGTGGTGTCCTTAGGGAGCGGACCGGGAGGGGGTACAGGGGGCCTTTGCTGACTCAGCTGTTCCGGCTGAACTGAGCCTTAATGAGGGAAGAGTGGAGGACTCTCTGTGACAGTTCCACACAGGGAGTTCTTACAGAGACGCGTACGCATGAAACGCACATCCGTCTCTCTGATACTCACGCACACACTTCTACTCTCATCCATCTGTTTTACTTTCCCCTTGTTTCCTGCTCTCTGCTCTTCATCCACGCATTCTCCCCACACACACTCTTCACCCCCCCTGGCCTTTGACCTGTATTACCCCCCATTACCGTGTGTACACACATTAGCCCCGGGCTGACACAAGCTCTAATCTGAAGTAAATGTCTGCACATTTATGTAAAGGGACTAATGGGAAAAATGAGGTGTGTGTGTGTGTGTGTGTGTGTGTGTGTGTGTGTGTACCACCAGGGAGCCTGTCCAACTTGCTATGAAACTCCACAGCTCTCAGGCTAAATGTGGCTGAAATGAAGGTTTAATGTGCTGGAAAACTGCTAGTTGGATTTGAATGGGGGGTGTGTGTGTGTGTGTGTGTGTGTGTGTGTGTGTGTGTGTGTGTGTG